GGTCGAACGACCCTTTCACAGGGGTTGCCTAAGACCATCCTGCATATCAGATATTTACATTACGATTCATAACAGTAGCAACATTACAGTTATGAAGTAGCAACGAAAATAATTTTATGATTGGGTCACAACATGAGGAACTGTATTTAAAGGGCCAGAAGGTTGAGAACCACTGACCTACAAGGTAAAGTACAAATTCTTCAGCACATCCTAGAGGGCTCTCTGTGATCTGGCCCCAACTTATCTTTCTGACCATATCCGCCATTAGTTTTCCCAATTCACTTCTGACATTTTCAAAACATAGCACTCCTTTGTGCCTTTGCACATGCTGTTTCCTCTCCTTGAAATGTCCTTCCTACTTCCTTTCTGTGTAGCACATTCTCATTTATTACATGCATTTAACAACCTACTGTGTTATGTCTGCTCCCACTTCCCAAAGAGTATAGTGTCCTTGTCCATTTCCTTCCATTAACGATGAGTTGCTAAATGGTAAGGACCATGTCCTTGCATCTATTTCCCGGCATTTGGCAAAGTGGTTGACATTTATCAAGTGCCCATGAAAAAAGCAAATTATAACTATTTTCCCTCACAGTTATAAGGGGGGAAGGGGACAAAGATATACATACTCCACCCAGGTTACCAACCTGTCAGGAAATATATGTGTTAATCTATAAATTGATTTAATCCTATTGCTAAAGGCAGTCTGTGCCAATCAATAAAGCAATTCCAAAGTGACCTTAGAGAAAAAGAGTCAGATAAAGACACAGTAAAGGCTGTATAGCTTGAACTTCTAGATGGTTCTGATGCACTCCCTCTTCCCTACAATTACTCTAATAATATTTGAGAAATCCAATGTTACTGTTTTTAATGTCTTAATACGTAAACCAGAAAGTACATATAGTAACTCTGAGGAGATAACTACTACATAGGGATGTGCAAAAGTAGGCTTATAGCTGTGAGTACACAAAACAGTTTATTCTTGTATTATTATTTATTAATTATTATATTATTTGTTTGTATTACAATTGTAAACCTACTTTTGCCTATCCCTTTAATAATCCCAAGTCTTCTGGGCAAAGTATTATCTCAATATTGAGAAAAAAAATTACAACCACAGAGGGTTATTTGATGGGCTTGGAATCAGCTCAAGGGTATCTGAATAATCAGAACAGTTAAAAGTGGTATTAAACTATGCTGGTCAGATCTCTATAATATCACTATGGGGACAGACAAAACACGCTGGCCCACTTCTTCAGGACACTGCTGAAGAATTGTGCTTCTTTTCCCACACTGATCATTATTTTTCTACTGAATTTTTTCTTCCTACACTGAACATTTTCTTTCTACCAAAAACTTGGATTTCTTTAGATATGTCAATAACATTAGTTAGGGTACAATCAAGGCTGCTTTGGACCAGGAAAATGTCCTGTCTTTTTAAGGAGGTCTCTCTAAATATTGATCTCATACTTGACATAGTATTCTTATAGTTTAACTTCACATTTCTAAGGGTACTTCACTGTCTAAGGATCACTTGTAAAAATACAACTTGATTCATAAGGTATTAATCATAGGAATTCTCTGGGCCTTTTTCTTCATCTGGGGATAGTTTCACAGTATTTTCCAAGCAACTATTGACAAGGGTACTTTTAAAGATTGATCTGATGAAAGTCTCGTTGAGATGCCAGCAGAAATATAAAGATCAAGGTACCTACTATGTTGTTTTCCTCAGATTACAACCAATATTCTTCTAGATTAGTTTTCTCTCCCCCCTCCCAGTAAAATACATTTTAAAGAGAAGTAACACTGAAAATGAGGACTCAAAATAAAATAGCTACAAAAAAATAACTCAGAAATTAGCAACCAAAGGAGAAAGTTACATCACTTACCCCTGAAACAATCATCTGAAGCTTCTTGCCATGCCTGCCCATTAATGCTGACATTCTCTTGCACAGCAGATTCAAAAGTCTGCAATACATTCACAATAGTAATGTCACTAAAAATAACTTTAAATACTGAATTTAAACATTTTGGCAAGATAATCTGTTTGTTTTTTGTTAATCCTCGCTGAGGATATTTTTTCCATTGATTGCTAGAATGGAAGGGAAAGAAGGTGGGAAGAGAAAGAAACATTGATGTGAAAGAGACACATGGATTGGTTGCCTCCCAACATGCCCCAACCGGGGGCGGGGATCACACCTGCAACCCAGGTACGTGCCACCCTTGACTGGAATCAAACCCTTTGGTGTGTAGGCCAACACTCTAACCACTGAGTAATGCCTGCCAGGGCATATAATTTCAGATTTGTGAAAGAGAATATTTAAAAAGTAGCAGACTAGCCTATTAGTATACTATTTTCAATGAAGATTCCATTGCAATTAATTCTACCTACACTTTCACTGATAGCCATTAAGCTACCTATGAAATAATTCAATCCAAAATTTCAGAATATTCTTTCAAACAAAAATATATATACTTCTTAAATGAAATAAAAAAATAAAAGCTAACAAATTTGGGCTCAGTTGAATCTCAAGAGTGTAAGTACTACATATGCGGTGAATGAACGTCATTGTTAACAAGAAGAAAAATATATATGCTTAAAAGAAAGTGAAATTATGTCTGCTTTATAAAGGACTGTATTTTTTAGAGATGTATACTGAAATATGTAGGATGAAATCACATGACATCTCGAATTTGTGTGAAATTAAGAAGTAACAAATTTTTGATAACTGTTAAATTTGGTGATGGATATATGGGTGTTCACTGTACTAGTCTATTTTTTTGTAGGGGAAGGCAGAGAGGGTTGGTGAGTGGGAGTTAATCAACCAAAGACCTTATATGCATATATGCATAACCCATGGACACAGATAATAGGGTGCTGAAGGCCTGGGGCAGGAGTAGGGGGGTGAGGGCAGGCTGGAGGGAGTTGCATATATGCATAACCCATGGACACAGACAATGGGTGTGAAGGCCTGGGGCAGGGGTAGGAGGGGTGAGGGCGGGCTGGAGGGAATCAATGGGGGGAAAAAGGGTCATATATAATATTTTCAACAATAAAGAATTGTTTTTTTTTAATGTTAATACATTAAAAAATAAAGGACTGCCATGGCCAGTGTTTCTCAATGGTATCAGCCTGCAAACTTAAGGGTCAGGGGTTCAATTCACTTCCCAGCCCTGTTCGGGGCATGTGCAGGAGGCAACCAATCAATGTGTTTCTCTCACATCAATGTTTCTCTCTCTCTTGCCCCCCCCCCACCCCCGCCTCCACTCTTTTTCAATGGTAAAAAAATCCTAGGGTGAGGATTAACAAAAAGTAAAAGAAAATAAAAGATTAAAGGAATATGGAAGCACCACTAAAATTCTGAATGCACATTCCCTATTATCTAACAACTAGAGGCCCGGTGCACAAAATTCATGCACGGGTAGGGTCCCTAGACCTGGCCGGAGATCAGGGCCGATCTGTGGGGCGACCGGCAGGGCAATCAGGAGGCCCCTGCTGGCACCCACCTTGGCTGGCCTGGCGCCACCCCCACCCCTCACCACCACTGGTCGCCTCCCTCTGCACGGCAACCGGCAGGGTGAACAGGGGGCCCCCACTAGCACCCACCTTGGCTGGCCTGGGGCCTGCAGGCTTGGGACAGCTCCTGTGTTGAGCGTCTGCCCCTTGGTGGTCAGTGTGCATCATAGCGACCAGTCATCTCATTATATAGGATGAGAATAGTCCTTTAGGTTAGGATACATTGCTAGAAGTGAAATCCTATATAATAAAAGCCTAATATGCAAATTGACCAATTGGCTGAACGACTGGTCGCTATGATGCACACTGACCACCAAGGGGCAGACACTCATCGCAGGAGCTGCCCCCTGGTGGTCAGTGTGCTCCCACAGGGGGAGCACTGCTCAGCCAGAAACTGGGCTCACAGCTGGCGAGCGTAGTGGCAGGAGCCTCTCCCACCTCCACAGCAGCGCTAAGGACCCTTCGGGGGTCCCAGACTGCGAGAGGTCACAGGCAAGGCTGAGGGTCCCCCTTCCCCTGCCCCAGTGCACAAATGTCATGCACCGGGCCTCTAGTAAGAACATAAAGAGGATGCACTAGGAATGTTTATTTTAGCACTGTTTGAAATTATAAAATACTGAGGAGAAAAATCACAAAATTTAAATTCAAAATTAGAAGAATGGTTAAATATTCAATATATCCATACCATGCAATACTTAAAAAGAACGAAGTATATTTGTACATAATATTGACAAACATATTTGGTAAAAGAAAAAAAAAATGGGGGAGAGCAGGTTGCTAACAATATATCAGCATGACACTTAATGTTTAAAACAAAACAAAAAAAACAGAAAGAGAGGGGGTGAGAGAGAGATGTAAAACCATAAAGAAGGGTGTAGAAGGATTATAACCTCTATGTACCCTCCAAAATAGTAAATTCTTTCCAGGAAAGAAGAGGGATGGGGAAGGGAAATTCAAAGGCTTTGCTTTATGTTATTTTTTTTTTTACAATGAGGATATATTTGGTATTTTGTATAATTAAAAATAAGCATAAATCAAATAATGCATAATTATGAAATAAAGTACATTATTTTACACTTTAAAATTTTTATAAAGTAAAATATTTACTTTATATGTCAACTTCCAAGGATTATCTGGGAATACAAATTGTCATTGTAGTATTGGCACAATTGTACCAATACTATTTTTTTAAGAAAACCTGTTACTATATTATGTGGTTTTGGACAGAGGTACATGAACATAATTAAAGCCTCTGCCTTTTATTTGTTCTCCTATTTAAAATAAAACACAAGTCGATTCCCTTGGTTGTTTACCTTCGCAGTTCCTAGAAAGGGGCAACCTCTAAGATCGTTACACAATAAAACAGTCTCCTTCCCAAAAAACCACTGAGAGCGTCTATTCTTCCCTTGGTTACAGGAGGGAATAAGAGGCACTGTTTACACAAAACGGGAATACAGCACAACTCGGGGAGGATTTCTTCATTTGCCTTCCGCTTCACCTTTATTTTTATTGTTTGCATTGTGATCATTCACGCTCACAGGTGTGCTGCATTTAAAATTTTTAAGCTTTTTTTTCCTACATATAAAATGTGTGCTTTGTTATGATAGCCACCAATCCCTCCATTTGTTGTACCTTTCCCCTCAAAAAACAAAAACAAAAAACCTATCTTCAAAGGCTTTATTTACAAAATATTTGAGAAAGGAAGGGGAAATATGCTCTAAGGGCCAGTTATGATCTTAGGAGAAGTTTAAAATCAAGACAGCTTCCTTATCTAGTTTAGACTTATAGGGGAGATGTTTTCACTCTCTTCACAAGATATTCTTAAAAAACAGGCAAAAAGGAAAGGCCAAAAGCTAGCCTGGTGCCCGACTGACTTCCAGGATTCCCGTTCCTGGAGAAATCCTCCCGGGTCTGCGTGCACGCGAACGGGGAGCTGCCGGGCCTTGAAAGGCGGCTCATCCCAAAGAAGATGAGCTGTACGTTTCGGACACCAAATTCGAAAAGCTGGGCACTAACAAAAGCACGAAAAATATCTCCTTCGGGTTGTTAAAATTATTATTAAATTAAAACGCTATCTTGGTCATAGTGGGTTAAGTAAAACATGTTATTGCAGTTAATTTCACCTGTCTTTTCTAACTTTTAATAAGTTACCTACATAGCTCGCCTTGTTCTTTTCTACTGGGCAGCGTGGGTCTCTCTAGGTAACTAATGCCCGGCGGCCACTAGATCTATTTCGTCCCCTCGCGCTCCTCGGGCTGCTTTTCCTGAGCGTGGGCACCGCTAACTCTGCCCGCGCAGCCTCTCGAGCCCCGAGACCGGGGAAGAGGGTGAAACGACAAGTGCCGGCTACTGGGCCCGTACCCACTGCGCGTCTCGCAGCGCGGGCTCCCGAATCTCCTCCGGCAGCGCGTCCCCGAGCTGTCGCACGAAGCGGCCGCACAGTTCCACCAGCTCCAGCACGGCCTGCTTCGAGGTGCAGC